AAGTGCGCTTGGCCTGTCATGACTCCATCTTAAGGTGGGTATTATATGCAAGCGAGGAAGCATGGAAGCGTTCCATTTTATGGGAGCGTTCACTTCTGGGAGATCCGATCCGTGTGTAGCACGCGTCAAACGCGACACTTCGCGCGACGTTAATCGCTGCGCCTAAACCCATCTGCAGTAAGCTTTACTCAGACTGGCTACTGGAATATGGTAGGGAGACTGTTATGAGGGGGGTCGAGTCTGGTGTTCCAGTCCCCTTTGCTACTTTTTCCAGCAAATCTGTGTGTCGCGTTTTAAATTACCGTGGAACGCCAATGATTGTAGCCTCAAAGGCTACCAAAATACAAACTTGGTAATTCCTCAATGACCCCGTGTAGTGACTATCTCGTGTTCACGCATTCGAGGGCAGACACTCCCTCCTCACTGAAGCCCCGTTCACGTGGCATAGAGCCCAGCAAGTTTGCTGCACATAAAGATGGCTTTTTCTACTTTTGTCCATCACTGCGCTCACATTCATCTCCAATTGGCCAACCTCCATTATGCCATTGAAACGTAGTCGGCGTAGGGAGACAAACGCAATATAAATCCGTTTCACAAAATCACACCTCACTTGCAAGTCGCCACTGCACCGTCTGCAAACTTTTTATAGTCGTATTCATTTGCGACAGCCTAACGAACCCTCCAGATTCACCGACACTTCGGGAAATAATCAGACGCACACCTTTTGTCTTTATTCCTGCATTCACACCTTCGCTTCCCTCCATTGCTGACTGGGTTGACGACTAGGTATCTCCTATAATGCTCAGTATAAGTAACCCATTTCCGTCGATGAAGCTCCACATTCTTCCATAATCTTACGTCGAAAACTAAGTCTAAAGCGCTGAATAGATTAACTTTTTAAAGGGTCACCCGGCGTAGCCCGACCGTTCCAGCTCCAGTCAGTACGTAAAAGTGTGTCGAGAGATTTTGCTCTCGCAGGTTGGCATTTTATGTTGGAACAAAGACAGAATCGACTGAAATGTCAATAACTTGCATCGTCAGTTTTGCTATTCCGTCAACGACTAGTTGCCAAGCAAGTAATACAGGCGTTGCCTGTTGCACAAGAGCGACAAGAATGCTGTGTCTACCAGGACGGTCGCCGGGACCTGTTGAGTACGGGATGCGGTTCCAGTAGACCCAACAAGGTTTCATTCTGTCGTCTGAGGTACCTGCAAATTAAAATCGAACAAAACGTTACCGACTATGCCTACTCACAGGAATTTGCTTGCTTTCTCTCGGATTCCTTTTTTCCGTTCTCTGACATTCAGTGAGCGTCCTTCATTGCTTAAATATTTTAATATTTCGTATGCCGGCTTGCCTTCCTCTCGAATTGCATATGCATCTTGTAGACTGAAAAGGTCCTGATGCGAAAAACTTACCTTTCAAACTTTATTTTATTCTCCTGTTTCTCTTAACCGCTTATCTCTCTTTATCTTCTAATCTGCATCTTTCCCACGAATATGAGACACCATTTTTGTCCGGTATGATTCATGCAATCAATGAAGTCCATTATGCACATGCATTCATACACACACACGCAGTGTAGCGACAATTTCCTTTTTCTCCATGACCTTCAGCACACACAAACACACGCGTGCGTCCCATATGACCTTTTCTCAATTTCATAGGAAAATATATGATTTTGTCTACAAGTAAACTGTGCAGTTTATACGCTGGACACCCTGAACACAAACGCAACTGAAGGTTGGTCCGAAAATTGAAAAAAAAATGCTTTTTCAAAATCCGCAGTATGTCTTTTCAAGTATAAACTTTTAAAAAGATATAATTTGCTTCCAAGTGGTTACAAGAGGAAATATTTTTATACAGTACCTGCCCTAGCTCGCGAAATGGGAAGGTCGACATTTGAGCAGATGATTTAACACACATGTGAGTTTGTTTATTTGGTCCTGTGAATTGACTCGAGGTGCAAAATGCTGTTTACTAGGAAAGTGTTCAGTTCACATGAGCATATTGAAGGGAAATAAACGCATAATTTGGCAAAATGCAAAGTTTCTCGATATCCAAGGAATTTCCCACGCCATTAAACGCTGCAGGCAGAGCCTTCTTGTGTACGCGTGTTGCCCAATAAAAGAACATTAATAAAAGCCAGGAAAGTTTTGAGTGCATTTTTTCAGAGAACAGAAAATTTAGTTTTGCCTTCAAGAAAATCAGGTAAATGCAAGTGTGACAAATGGCTTTCTAAAATTACTGGTATTTCCAGACAAGGTGTTATTATTTGCTAAACTAAAACATGTCTTCTTTTTTATTACGAGGTTTATTTTATTGTTGTAAGATTTTGGAGGCGGGCGGCCTGGACTGCTTTTGCATACTAGGGAGTTGCTAGTAAAAATCCCTGGATTTCATGAGATAGGGCAACTAAGAGGTCCATTCTAAAGCCGACCTCGTCTCCTAACTTTAATATCTTGGGGTGCTGTTGCATGGCAATAGATCTTACAGCCCAGAATAGGTAAACCTTTCTAATTGAAAATAAAGTTCCGATTTCGTTAACATTTCTTTATACAGGCCAGCTACTGTGCGTGCACATTCGCATTCCCGTTACCATTTTTTTTTCTAACCCTT